GAACACTCTAAAGTTATAGACAACTACCCCTAAAAAATAAAAAGTTATAGAACGCCGTAAAGTTATAGAACGCCCTAAAGTTATAGAACACTACCTCTAAAAAATAAAAAGTTATAGAACGCCCTAAAGTTATAGAACACTACCTCTAAAAAAGAAAAAGTTATAGAACACTCTAATATTATAGAATACTAACCCTAAAAAATAAAAAGTTATAGAACACTGTAATATTATAGAACACTACCTCTAAAAAAGAAAAAGTTATAGAACGCCCTAAAGTTATAGAACACTACCCCTAAAAAATAAAAAGTTATAGAACGCCCTAAAGTTATAGAACGCCCTAAAGTTATAGAACGCCCTAGAGTTATAGAACACTACCCCTAAAAAATAAAAAGTTATAGAACGCTCTTAAGTTATAGATCACCGCCTAAAAATCTATATAGATTATCTTAAATCCTTTCTTAATCTTCCTATGCTATATATTAACTGCCTAAGGTACGTACATATATAACCTGTTCTTTTGTATATTTTGCGAGGATTGCTCCTAGCTCTAGCCCTCTCTATCTTGTAATTACTATATAACTTATTCGCTATAGCCCTCTTCCTTCTATTAATAGTAGCTGTTTAGGTAGCAGTTTTGCAAATAAGGAGGGCATAATATCCCAATTTTAACCAAGCTAGCAACAGGCTTACGCTTAGTAGCTTGTAACAACAAGGCTACTTAACTACTTACACGACCTAGCTAGACAACTAAGTTATCTATAAAGGATTCAATCCTGCGCACTATACAATTGCAATACACTAGCTAACAACCCTAACTTTAATAGGGCTGCTAACGCCAATCTAGTAAGGTTCTAGGCCAAAGGCCTATTTGTATCTAACTAGTGCAGGTGGAAATCACCCTATTCTAGCATAGATTCTAACTTAGAGGCGTTTAGCTATAATCTAGTAGATAGTAGCTTTGCGGCAATGCCTAGTTAGATAGCCGCAAAAACTAATTATCTAAAACCGCGGTTCCTCTCGTACTAAGCGGTATTACTATTAGGGCAAGGTTATTAGTAGGGTAAAACTAACCTGTCTTACGACGGTCTAAACCTAGCTCACGTTCCCTATTAGTAGGTAAACAATCTAACGCTTACTAAATTCTACTTTAGTATAATAGGAAGAGCTAATATTAAAGGATTAAAAAGTAACATTGCTATAAACGCTTGGCTGCCACAAGCTAGTTATCCCTGTAGTAACTTTTCTAGCACCTCTAGCCTTAAATTTTAAGGGACTAAAGGATTAATAGGCTATACTTTTATAGTTTGTATTTACACTAAAAATTAAAATTAAGGGGACTTTTGCCCTTTTGCTCTACTAGAGATTTCTGTTCTCTATAAGTCCCCCTTAGGACACCTGCGTTATAGTTTAATAGATGTGCCGCCCTAGCTAAACTCCCTACCTAACAATATCTTTAACCTAGATTAGCCTATAAAGGACCTTAAACGCTAGAAGTTAGGTAGTAAGGCCTAGCTCCGCTTTATTAAATAAGTAAAAAAACAATAAGGGTAGTAGTATTTTACTAGCGCTAAAGCTCCTACCTATTCTACACCCCCTATATCTTTTTATAATGTTAAACTAGAGTTAAGCTTAACAGGGTCTTCTTTCCCCGCTAATTTAGCTAAGCCTGTTCCCTTAGCTATAGTTTTGCTAGATAGTAGATAGGGATAGTAGGAATCTTATTAATCTATTTATGCGCGTTACTAATTAGATAATAAGGTATTTAGCTACCTTAAGAGAGTTATAGTTACTCCTACTATTTACCCGCGCTTAGTTAAATCTCTTTACTTTAATATTTAGAGCA